CTTCTGTCTTAGAGAGCGTCTGTCTTAGTGAGCGTCTGTCTTAGAGAGCGTCTGTCTTAGAGAGCGTCTGTCTTAGAGAGCGTCTGTCTTAGTGAGCGTCTGTCTTAGAGAGCGTCTGTCTTAGAGAGCGTCTGTCTTAGAGAGCGTCTGTCTTAGAGAGCGTCTGTCTTAGAGAGCGTCTGTCTTAGAGAGCGTCTGTCTTAGAGAGCGTCTGTCTTAGAGAGCGTCTGCCTTAGAGAGTGTCTGTCTTAGAGAGCGTCTGTCTTAGAGAGCGTCTGCCTTAGAGAGCGTCTGTCTTAGAGACCTTCTGTCTTAGAGAGCGTCTGTCTTAGTGAGCGTCTGTCTTAGAGAGCGTCTGTCTTAGAGAGCGTCTGTCTTAGAGAGCGTCTGTCTTAGAGAGCGTCTTAGAGAGCGTCTGTCTTAGAGAGCGTCTGTCTTAGAGAGCGTCTGTCTTAGAGAGCGTCTGCCTTAGAGAGTGTCTGTCTTAGAGAGCGTCTGTCTTAGAGAGCGTCTGCCTTAGAGAGCGTCTGTCTTAGAGACCTTCTGTCTTAGAGAGTGTCTGTCTTAGAGAGCGTCTGTCTTAGAGACCTTCTGTCTTAGAGAGTGTCTGTCTTAGAGAGCGTCTGTCTTAGAGACCTTCTGTCTTAGAGAGCGTCTTAGCGACCAGACGGACACAGCCTGGCGAAGATGACGAGGGGTGACAGGAAGACAGAATAAAGATAAAGACAGGATAAGACACAGGACAGACCTGTCATGTGGCCATCCTGGTCCCAGTTCGAGGCGTCCTGGTAATGGGGAGAGAGTTGTGGGGAGGAAATGGGGCGAAAAAGGGGGGAGGGGGAGATGGATAGAGAGGGTGGATGGGGGTAGAGGTGAAGGGGTAGAGGTGAGGGGGAATGGGTAGGGGTAGAGGTGAGGAAGGGGGAAAACAAATGGAAGGGTGGAAGTGATGGGAAATGGGGGTCGTGGGAGAGGGGTGACAGGGGTGGTGGGATTGATGATAATGGACATCAACGAAGTGGTTTGTCCGCTGACCTCCGCCAGCTGTCGGCTGCTGCTGCTGCTGTTGACGTCTGTTGTCGACTCTTAGTGTCACTGTTGCAAGCTGCCGCAACTGTTGATGTCTCTGTTGTCGCCCTCTTGCTGTCACCTTACATTAATATTGGCCGCTCTCTCTCTCTCTCTCTCTCTCTCTCTCTCTCTCTCTCTCTCTCTCTCTCTCTCTCTCTCTCTCTCACACACACACACACACACACACAAAGGGGCCTCGTAGCCTGGTGGATAGCGCGCAGGACTCGTAATTCTGTGGCGCGGGTTCGATTCCCGCACGAGGCAGAAACAAATGGGCAAAGTTTCTTTCACCCTAAGTGCCCCTGTTACCTAGCAGTAAATAGGTACCTGGGGGCTAGTCAGCTGTCACGGGCTGCTTCCTGGGGTGTGTGTGTGTGTGTGTGTGGTGTGGGGAAAAAAAATAGTAAGTTAGTAGTTAGTTAGTAAACAGTTGATTGACAGTTGAGAGGCGGGCCGAAAGAGCAAAGCTCAACCCCCGCAAAAACACAACTAGTAAACACAACTAGTAAACACACAGAGGAACCTGTACACCAGTTGATTGACAGTTGAGAGGCGGGACCAAAGAGCCAGAGCTCAACCCCCGCAAGCACAAATAGGTAAGTACAAATAGGTGATTACACACACACACACACACCAGGGCGCTGGTGGCTGAGTGGACAGCACGCTGGATACGTAGTCCTGTGGTCCGCGGTTCGATTCCCAGCGTCGGCGGAAACAGATGGGTATAGAGTCTTTCACCCTGATGCGTCTGTTCACCTAGCAGTAAATACATACTTGGGAGTTATACAGCTCTTATGGGGTGCTTCCTCTGTGTGTGTGTGTGTGTGTGTGTGTGTGTGTGTGTGTGTGTGTGTGTGTGTGTGTGTGTGTGTGTGTGTGTGTGTGCGCGCGCGCAGTTTTTTAAGTATTGCCCCGAGGGGAGAGTTCAATGGGCAGCGCCACTCATCCTGTTAGTAGACATACCGCCATAGCAGCATGTACAACTCTCCCCCAACAGGAAGAAAACCCGCTAGGTTGTTCATCCTGTCACTTGTACCCAGACACAGCTGGGATTTTGTCTCAAGTGAACAGCTTATCAAACAAGAATATTAACGTTAACCTGTAAACCCTTAAAATCTTACGTTATCTTGCGGGTGCAAAATTGGGGGAATCTTCTTAGAACAGCATTTATATTTGACAGTATTTTCCCCTAACTCAAACAATGTGGGGTTTACTGTGCTACACACATTCCTGATGTCTCTCAGGTTATCTTGAGATCTTGAGATGATTTCGGGGCTTTAGTGTCCCCGCGGCCCGGTCCTCGACCAGACCTCCACCCCCAGGAAGCAGCCCGTGACAGCTGACTAACACTCAGGTACCTATTTTACTGCTAGGTAACAGGGGCATAGGGTGAAAGAAACTCTGCACATTGTTTCTCGCCGGCGCCTGGGATCGAACCCAGGACCCCAGGACCACAAGTCCAGCGTGCTGTCCGCTCGGCCGACCGGCTCCCAGGTGTTCACATTCTCTCAGGTAGTGGTCAAGGCGGTGTCCGTCACTCTCACCACAAAATCCGCAACTCCACTGTTCTTTTTCGTGTGTTAGAGAGAAATATTTGTAGTAGATATAATGGAGTAAAAATAGATTGGCTAGAAAGGCGGGGTCCAAGAGCTAACAGCTCGATTCTGCAGACACAAATACACACAGAGTTGTTAGTTCCAGTACACACAGACCACGTCTTTCTCCATATTTGTCAGTGGAACAATCCCATTACATTGCTCCATTACCTATCAGCCTTATCCACTAATAATTAGATTAATTAGCAAATTTTTGTTTTAAATTGATGTATGTGAAATATTATAAATCACATTAATTTTGGCATCAATTTCTTACCTTTAATTTCCATACTCATTCGGGGTCGTTTATTTCCCAAGTTGGGAAAATTATCACATTTCCTCTCGACAGTGTAATGAATCATCTCTCATTAATGGGATAATATGTTTTAATAAGTCAAAAGATATTATCCATTTTTTATCCTCATTCAAGTTAATAAATCCTTATGTTTTTAACTGAACTGTTTGCTGGAATAGGCTTCCCTTTTCCTCGCCTCTAATATGTCTTCTAAGCTACACAAATATTCAAAGTCAGGTAAAATCCATAGGTAAAGCTTCAAAGCTAAAGAAATATTGCCGGAACAGAGTTGGATGTCTTCAAGATGCACTTAGACAAGTTTTAGGTTTCCAACAGAAAAACAGAATCGGTGCATACTTGACAATTAAAATTCAGTGAACACTTGGCAATCACAAACAGAGGAAGCTTGACAGTCACAAACAGAGGAAGCTTCACAGTCACAAACAGAGGAAGCTTCACAGTCACAAACAGTGGAAGCTTCACAGTCACAAACAGAGGAAGCTTCACAGTCACAAACAGTGGAAGCTTGACAGTCACAATCAGTGGAAGCTTGACAGTCACAATCAGTGGAAGCTTGACAGTCACAATCAGTGGAAGCTTCACAGTCACAATCGGTGGAAGCTTCACAGTCACAATCAGTGGAAGCTTGACAGTCACAATCAGTGGAAGCTTGACAGTCACAATCGGTGGAAGCTTGACAGTCACAATCGGTGGAAGCTTGACAGTCACAATCGGTGGAAGCTTGACAGTCACAATCGGTGGAAGCTTGACAGTCACAATCGGTGGAAGCTTGACAGTCACAATCGGTGGAAGCTTGACAGTCACAACATTAAAGCCGCTCTCCAAACAGAACGCTTTGACATGTGCCTGTGAAATGATGTCACCTCCACGACTCAGGGAGCTGATTTACACTTAGTAACTTGTACGATATACAAGCAGCCTCCCCTCCCGTGTGTGTGTGTACTCACCTATTTGTGCTTGCGGGGGTTGAGCTTTGGCTCTTTGGTCCCGCCTCTCAACTGTCAATCAACTGGTGTACAGATTCCTGAGCCTACTGGGCTCTATCATATCTACACTTGAAACTGTGTATGGAGTCAGCCTCCACCACACTGATCATGTCCCCCCTTACTCTTCTGTCTTCCAGTGTCGTAAGGTGCATTTCCCGCAGCCTTTCCTCGTAACTCATGCCTCTTAGTTCTGGGACTAGCCTAGTGGCATACCTTTGGGATTTTTCCAGCTTCGTCTTGTGCTTGACAAGGTACGGGCTCCATGCTGGGGCCGCATACTCCAGGATTGGTCTTACATATGTGGTGTACAAGATTCTGAATGATTCCTTACACAGGTTCCTGAACGCTGTTCTGATGTTAGCCAGCCTCGCATATGCCGCAGACGTTATTCTTTTTATGTGGGCTTCAGGAGACAGGTTTGGTGTGATATCAACTCCTAGATCTTTCTCTCTGTTCGTTTCATTAAGTACTTCATCTCCAATTCTGTATCCTGTGTCTGGCCTCCTGTTTCCACTGCCTAGTTTCATTACTTTGCATTTACTCGGGTCGAACTTCAACAGCCATTTGTTGGACCATTCACTCAGTCTGTCTAGGTCATCTTGTAGCCTCTTACTATCATCCTCTGTTTCAATCCTCCTCATAATTTTTGCATCATCAGCAAACATTGAGAGAAACTAGTCTATACCCTCTGGGAGATCATTTACATATACCAGAAACAGTATAGGTCCAAGGACTGACCCCTGCGGGACTCCACTTGTAACGTGCGTGTGTGTGTGTGTGTGTGTGTGTGTGTGTGTGTGTGTGTGTGTGTGTGTGAGAGAGAGAGAGAGAGAGAGAGAGAGAGAGAGAGAGAGAGAGAGAGAGAGAGAGAGAGAGAGAGAGAGAGAGAGAGAGAGAGAGAGAGAGAGAGAGAGAGATAAACCGTGGTCTAGAAGGATAAAACCCACCGATAGGCTTGGATCAGAATATTATCAGTCACACTGAATTAGTCAATCTCGTTTTCTTATTGATTATTTACTTGTTCTCTTGCAGAAGATATTCAGTAGTGGTTAAAAACTGCTTATGACAAAATATGTGCGTTCAGTAACTAACGAAAACACTACCAACAAAAAAGTCATATAGAAAACTGTGTTTAAAAAAGCAGTAAACAGAGGAATAAGACTATCATATCTAAAGATTACGAGACGCAAACATTGACACAAGGCCCGTGGACGAGACGCAAACATTGACACAAGGTCGTGAAGCAGAATTATACAAATGGAATAATTAAAAAAAAAACTGTCTTTGCGTAACCTCGAGTGAAGAAACATGTGTGAATCCGAGCCTCACGGAGCCCCGGTCTCCAGCGGGTCACCCAACGTCGAGAGGCTCGATGCTTCGAGCCCCGACCCGGAGGAGGCTCCGGCCAGCCCCAGAGACTCCATACTAACCAAAGACTCTGAAGATGGAAACCAAAATGCGGCAGAGACGACGGAGAGAGAGACCGCAGGCTTCCCTGGCGGACCTAACGGAGATGCGAGACCTCGTCGGGATTCCACCGAGGCCAGAGAGCCTCCTCTGCTGGCTCCCGGGACATCGAAGGACTCTTTAGCCGAAGAATCGGATGAGATCGAAGGGGTTGATCCCTTCAGCGTCAAGACAAACGATGCGGTGGACTCTCGTCTCAGCCGTCAACTCTCCAATAGACGAGGGTCCAAAACTGTCAACTTCAAGGAGCCCGAAGTGGAGGGCGCCCCGACGCAGAATGGGTCTTCGCCAGCGTCCTCCAAGGGAGGAGAGCCCCTGGAGGAGGAGGAGGAGGAGGAGAAGAACGAGAAACACTCCAATAAACAGTGGACGCTGGGGGAAGGCAACCCCGTCTATCGCCTGTCCATGAAACTCTCGCCAAACCTGTTCAACTTGACGGTAAGTGAATCACGTTTCACGAGAACGAGAGTGATTTTATTGTCAATATTTGTATTCATATCCTCAGCTCCACAAGAACCTCGTCTGTGGGATAAAGGTAAGTTCTCAGCATAACTTCTAATTTGTATTCTCGTGCGTTTGTTCCTGTACAAATTGATTAATGATGTTTTAATTTATGTAAAAAAAGATGCACGAGTTCTTCTATATTCAGAGTAGCTCATTCTTTCATTCTATCCTGCAACTCTGCCGTTCTAAATGGTTGATTCCGATCAACCAGTTAGAATGGCAGAAGTGAAAGGTTCTGAAGATCACACGAAGAAAAATTGTGTAATTTTAGAGATTACTGCTCTAGTTAAATATCCCCTTGAGATCAGGGCTGGAGGTGGACAGTGATCAGGGCTGGAGGAGGACAGTGATCAGGGCTGGAGGAGGACAGTGATCAGGGCTGGAGGAGGACAGTGATCAGGGCTACCTGGTTACCTGGTTGATGGGGTTCTGGGAGTTCTTCTACTCCCCAAGCCCGGCCCGAGGCCAGGCTTGACTTGTGAGAGTTTGGTCCACCAGGCTGTTTCTTGGAGCGGCCCGCAGGCCCACATACCCACCACAGCCCGGTTGGTCCGGCACTCCTTGGAGGAATAAATCTAGTTTCCTCTTGAAAATGTCCACGGTTGTTCCGGCAATATTTCTTATGCTTGCTGGGAGGACGTTAAACAACCGTGGACCTCTGATGTTTATACAGTCTTCTCTGATTGTGCCTATGACACCTCTATAGGCTGGAGGGCGACAGTGTTCAGGGCTGGAGGAGGACAGTGATCAGGGCTAGGGAGGGGGGGGGGGAAGACTCAGCCAGCTGCAACCGGACGCGATTATCAGCTCTGAAGCACACCTGTGGTGGGGAAGGCTGCGTGTGTGTGTGGGGGGGGGGGGGGTGAGAGGAAGGGCAAAGTAGTGTGGGGGGGGGCCACGGAGCAGTGTGGGACCCCACGGAGCAGTATGGGGGCCACGGAGCAGTGTGGGGGGGGGGAAATACCCATATCGAACTAAACACAAAAATTCTCTCCCCTGACAGAAATTTACCGGCCGGAAACTAGGCCGCCTCGCCTCAGCGTCCAAACAGATTAACTGACTGAAAGCAGCTCAAGTTGTAAGCTTCTTTCACGCTAATGAGCTTCGATTGATCTACCCGAGTTGGGCTAAATTCATACGCCTGTGGATACGCAAAAAAAAAAAACCACCTCAAATTCGACGTGCGTCAAATTGTGACAACTTGGGGGGTTGTAACAAGGCAGTTTAGATGGTTTGGGTCATTTGGGAGCTCGGAAGAAGCGAGAGAGACTCCTTAGGAACCATGTCAAGGGCGTCTCATAGCACCTGGTTCTTGGCGTAGGAAACATGTCAAGGATGTCTCAGATATGTGGTGATGTCACCAGCCGAAAAGCAGTCGGCCGAGCGGACAGCACGCTGGACTTGTGATCCCGTGGTCCTGGGTTCGATCCCAGGCGCCGGCGAGAAACAATGGGCAGAGTTTCTTTCACTCTATGCCCCTGTTACCTAGCAGTAAAATAGGTACCTGGGTGTTAGTCAGCTGCTACGGGCTGCTTCCTAGGGGTGGAGGCCTGGTCGAGGACCGGGCCGCGGGGACACTAAAGTCCCGAAATCATCTCAAGATAACCTCAAGAAGATGTCACCAGCCCCTCCCCCCCCCCATCACTGTGACATCACCCTACATGCCGGCCGGCTTGGCCCAGCCAACGGTAACTACCACTAATCAGTATTAACAGTGACGCTAACAAGCGGACCAGAGCCAATTACAGAGAGCAATTAGTGCCAACGTGAAGATCTCGCCGCGTTATTACGAGAGGCCCCGACTCGTGAGCTTGGCACGTCTTGTGGCACTCTGGCACCCTGTCTATCGTCTGTTGGCTCTCCTGGCACCCTGTCTATCGTGCGGGGGCACTCTGGCACCCTGTCTATCTCCCCGTGGCACTCTGGCATCCTGTCTATCGTCCGGTGGCACTCTGGCACCCTGTCTATCGCCCGGTGGCTGGCACCCTGTCTATCGTCCTTTGGCTGGCACCCTGTCTATCGTGCGGGGGCACTCTGGCACCCTGTCTATCTCCCCGTGGCACTCTGGCACCCTGTCTATCGTGCGGGGGCACTCTGGCACCCTGTCTATCGCCCGGTGGCTGGCACCCTGTCTATCGTCTGGTAATTATCATACGCTGTGATTACTTCGTTCTAATTTTGTTGTTATCCCACTTGCTATATTTGTTGTTACATTTACTCTCTCTCCCTCTCCTTCTCTCCCTCTCCTTCTCTCCCTCTCCCTCTCTTCCTCTCTCCCTCTCCCTCTCTCCCTCTCTCTCTTCCCCCAGGTTCCAGACTCGCTAATTGAGCCCTAATTATTAGTTGATTATCAAACTTCCTGTGAGCAGGCAACGAAGGGGAGAGGGGAGGGGGTGAGAGAGAGAGAGAGAGAGAGGGAGGGAGAGGGGGAGGGAGAGGGGGAGGGAGAGGGGGAGGGAGAGAGGGTGAGATAGAGAGAGAGAGAGAGAGGAACATCTCCGCCAGGCGGCAGGGAGGGATAATAAGAACGGGGGATAGATAAACATGAGATAAGTGGGAGGGAGAAGAGTAGTTATGGGTGAGTCAGACGTGTTGTTGTCCTCTGTGTATCAGGTGAGGGCGGGTGTTGTGTGGGGCGAGGGGCACCTGCCGCGCGCTCTCTTGCTTCACCTAATGGTTCATCTTGCTCTAACTAATAGTCACCTTTCCCTTTCGTCATTGTTACCTCACTTGTGATCCTGGACTGCGTAGGGGACACAAGCCAGGGTAAATATGCGTAGAGTGGCGTGCGTTTGTGTGGTATGTCAACTATGCGTATTAAGTGTGTGTGTGTGTGTTTACTATTTGTGTCTGCAGTGACTGTTACACAGAGAGTAACAGTCAACCATATTAAAATCGAGACCAAGCGCAGTTAAAAGCTCGGTACCTCTGGGTACAGTCCTTGCACCACTGTTTTTCCTTATTCTTGTATCAGATATAGACTCATATACAAGGCACAGCTTCGTGTCATCCATTGCAGATGAGACAAAAATTAGCATGAAAATTACCTCTGCTGAAGACATTAAAACCTACAAGCAGATATAAATAAAGTTTTCGACTGAGCAACAGAAAATAACATGATGTTTAACAGTGATAAATTCCAGGTACTCGTGTACGGTAAAAATGAGGACCTTAAACATAATACTGAGTACAAAACACAATCAAATTTGCCCATAGTAGGAAAGCAACATGTCAAGGATTTAGGAATATTGATGTCCGACGACCTAACGTTTAGGGAGCATAACCAAGCAAATATTGCGTCAGCCAGAAGAATGATAGATTGGATTACGAGAACTTTCAAATCCAGGGATCCCATCACAATGGTTGTACTCTTCAAGTCACTTATGTTGTCCCGTCTTGAGTACTGCTCAGTACTCACTTTCCCCTTCAGAGCAGGAGAGATTGCTAAAATAAAGGGAATACAGAGAACATATACGGCACGCATAGACGCGATAAAGCATCTAAATTATTGGGATCGTCTCAAAGCTCTCCAAATGTACTCACTAGAAAGAAGACGAAAGAGATACCAAATAATATACACGTGGAAGATACTGGAGGGCCAGGTACCAAATCTACACAGTAAAATAACAACATACTGGAGTGAACGATAAGGAAGAAAATGCAGAATAGATCCAGTGAAGAGCAGGGGTGCCATAGGCACAATCAGAGAACACTGTATAAACATCAGAGGTTCGCAGTTGTTCAACATCCTCCCAGCGAGCATAAGAAATATTGCTGGAACAACCGTGGACATCTTCAAGAGAAAACTAAATAGTTTTCTCCAAGGAGTGCCAGACCAACTGGGCTGTGGTGAGTATGTGGGCCTGCGGGCCGCTCCAAGCAACAGCCTGGTGGACCAAACTCTCACAAGTAAAGCCTGGCCTCGGGCCGGGCTTGAGGAGTATAAGAACTCCCAGACCTCCATCAAGCAGGTATCATTTGTTTCTGCCTCTGCCAGGGATCGAACCCGGGCCCTGAGGACTACGACATCAGAGCGCTGTGCACTCAGCCCCCTGTGTGTGTGTGTGTGCTTACCTAGTTGTGCTTGTGGGGGTTGAGCTCTGGCTCTTTGGTCCCTCCTCTCAACCGTCAATCAACCGATGTACAGGTTCCTGAGCCTCCTGGGCTCTGTCATATATACACTTCAAACTGTGTATGGATTCAGCCTCCACCACATCACTGCCTAATGCATTCCATGAATGCATTAGTGTGTGTGTGTGGGGGGGGGGCTAGTTTATGTTCCCTTTACTTTGTTTCATCTGTATGGGCAATAAATTCCAGTTCTGGCACCGACACACTGGACGTGAGACACCGGGATAAAAGCGAGAGTCCAAAACATGTTTCATACAAGACATTCAGGATCCACAGCACTCAAAATAATGGACAACGAATCTGCACGTTTCAGAATTAATCATAACCGAATGTATACTGTTACCAGTCAAAACAAAAACTCATTAGCACTACCATTAAGTATGTCAAAAGTCTCTTAGTTTTGTTTTCCGAACTCCTAAAAATAGGTTAGATAAGGTTTAGCTGAGGACGCGCTGTTGACTAGCTACAACCCATTTTCCTTCTTCGTTAGAGAAAACGGGATTTTCTCTAAATAACATAGCGGTTATCGAAGCATTTTAACCCAAGGCTTACCGCCTCTATACCAGTGCTATCAATCTAATCATAAATAAACACGTCTGAAAGAGGAGAGGAACGAGAACTTACATGTTTAGACTTGAGTATAGATGGCGTGGCTCAGGTGCCGCGGATGGTCTGATGGCGCGGGTCTGATGGTGCGGGTCTGATGGCATGGGTCTGATGGTGCGGGTCTGATGGCATGGGTTTGATGCCATGGGTCTGATGGCATGGTCAGATGGCGCGTCTGATGGCACGGGTCAGATGGC